GGGAGCTTGGCCAGTGTTCACAATTGAGCTCTTAAGAACTTTAGTTCTAATGTCATTATAAAGTTAGGTACTTAGGATTGTTTACTAGGCCGATAAAAGAAGTCTGGCCGTCAGGATCTGAGAAGGCGAACAGAAGAACGCCCATCTTAAAAAACCCTTTCGTTTCCCGTAAGTTAAAGCTGCTGCTAAGGGTGTGTTGATTGACAAATGTGTGTGTCGCTTAAGGAGCAAGTTCGTTAAACTTGAATTTAAGATCGTGATTGGCAGAAAGAAATTTATCATGCCAGCTATGCCTTCGTTTTAATTTTTCTTGGTTTTTCTTGTGGCCTCTTTTTAAGCCGAACTGACACCGAGTGTTTCTTGAAAAGATTTCCTAGGCAGTCATAAAGATAAAATTTTATAAGTTCTGCTTGTAACAACTCTCCCATGTCCAAAACCTGACTTGCGGACGTAAAGCGAAGAGGGAGGTCTTCGCATAGATGCAGAAAAATTTGGTGATGTAGACGTAGTTTCATGCTTTTGGTTCTAAACGATGGAAATGACCCTGTGCTCTTGAAAAGACGTCATTGTTGCTGTTGGGGACCGGTCTGTCATTTCCGTACTTGGAGTAAGAAACCCAACGCTGGCTGTGAAACAAAGTCATTGGCAAATCTTGTTTTGATTGAATAGGTGTTCACAGCTGGAAGCATGACCGTCCGAGTTCTCTCGTGCCAAACTACCATACAAAGCTGGTTTTCACAGGGGTAGGTAATCTTCTTAAGATAACCCATGCATGTAGAACATGTTAACACTTAGATATGTCAAGACTTTTCAATTAAATGAAAACAATCGTCTTGAAAGATGAAATGATATATTATTTCCCGTTTGAACGGGCTCAATAAGTGAAAGCATGTTTTCCACGGCCAAATGTATAAACAACCGTGCGTTTTGAATGAATGAAGGAAGGAAGGAAGGAAGGAAGGAAGGAATGAATGAATGAATGAATGAATGAATGAAATAGAATATTTAGACAGGGTAGCCCAGTTCAGCTAATAGCTGGTTTAAATGGGGCCCTGTGACACCCACCCATCCCACCTCAGGGGAGGACATCCACCACACAGTAATCTCGTGCGTGGGAAATTAATGTTTCCTACCCCTAGCCATGAAGGAGACCGTCGGGGCCTACGGTTTATTCGTCCTTATCCGAGAAGACATCATCCATTTCTTGATATCATAGAAAGGTAGCAAATTCTCCTCGGTTATTTTAAGATCATAAGTATTGGTCCGGCCGGGGCTCGAATCCACGGCCTCCCGCACAACACAATCCGGCGCTTTAACCAATTGAGCCAACCGGGAGGCGGTCGAGATCGAATTTGTTAGTGGCCTCGCCGAGAAAAAAAGAATCCTTTTAGTCGGTCGTTCCAAATTTTCTAGTTCTTCAAAGCCTCTACGAAAATACTCGAATCCTCCATAATAATTTATTTCAATCCGATGGCAAATGTACTTTTGTATAGATATGCCAAAAAATGTTCAACTTTGCCATTTCTTACGCTAATACCACCAACAAGTGTCGGATGGACTGGGCGTTACATCTGATGGTAAAAAATGTCTGCTTGAATGGAAATGATGTTTGATATCACTTCTAAACTTCTTTAAAATAAATATTTTGGTGTAACTATAGTTAAAATGTACTTAATTTTGAAATTAATGAATGATTTCTCTCTCTGAAGTAGCTCTTCTCTGGATTTCGTTCCCGTCCCTTCCCCCACAAATGTAAGCTCGACGTCGAAAAAGAATTCCCAAAAACACGACAAATCTTGGGCAAAAGACTGTGACGATGAAATTTATTTGATTTCGCTTCCTCTCTTGTAACAATTTTTAAAGGTAACTCTTTTCTATTTTTTCTTTTCCGGAGATTTAGCAAGTTGTGTGGTGCCAAGTAGATTTGTTTCTTTATCCGGGAGACTCCCTGTTAATTTTAATCCGGGATCAGTGGTAGACGTAAACGACCGCGACCGACCCCACCCAGCAAGTCACGGTTGACCTAGCATAGACGAAGACATAAACGACCGCGACCGACCCCACCCAGCAAGTCGCTGTTGACCTAGCATAGACGAAGACATAAACGACCGACCCCACCCACCAAGTCACTGTTGACCTAGCATAGACGAAGACATATGTATCTACTTCTGACCATCAAAACGAAGTCTTCAGTGAAATCACAACAAATCAAAATGTGGCATTGTCATTGATTTCAAACCTTTAGTTCCTGTACAAAATATAACAGTTTATTGATTTGAAAGGTGTCTCATTACAAATATGATGGAATCCTTTTGGTATGTCGCGAATTCACTACGCTATATTTGTAAAACATAATCTAGGATCATTTCAAGTCTGCCGATTATCTTAATGGTTTCTTCCAGAGATTGCAGTCGCTTCTACAGTCAATACCGATCGATAGGGTCCTACATTTGCGTCCTGAAAAAATAATGTTATCGCCCCTCAAGTTTATTTTGGTACTCAACTCGGATGGCGAGGTTAAATGGCAAGGTTTCTTGTTACACTCAACACATATGCGTCATAGAGTCAGACGTTTGAGGGGAAAAATAATACAATCAGCTTACATCGTAACTTAAAGCGGCGTTGGGTCATTCATTCGCGGTGGCGCTTTGTCTGTGATCGATTCCTTGTTTTTCTTGCAATGTTTTCAGTTTTGTGTTGGACTGCTTTGATGCAACTTTCCCTGGTTGAAGCTAACAGCGAAGTTATCGACTTTCTGAAGCATTTCAACACCCACGCACCGTTAGAAGCGAACAAAAGGTGGATAGCAGAATGGGAGTATTCAACAAATGTCTCGTCAGAAGAGGCAGCCTCCAAAAAGAAAGCAGCGACTTTGGCTTTTCAAACTTTCCTCGAAGATACGCGAAAGAAAGCGTCGCGATACAGTAATCTTGAGGGTCTTTCAGAGACGCTTCGGCGACAATTAAAATTGCTTCGCTCATCTGCGACTCTGAAAGATAAACAGGAGCGGGAAGAACTCGAAAACATTGAGATCGAAATGCAGAAAATCTATAGTTCGTCTCAAGTTTTCGACGTAGAGACAGGGAAAAACTTGTCGCTGTCGCCTGATCTGACAAAAATTATGGCTTCGTCAAAGAAACACGACCGCTTGAAGTTCGCGTGGCAGGAATGGCGTGACGCTGTTGGCCCAAAAATTCGTCCCCTTTTTGAACGATACGTGAACTTGTCAAATCAAGGCGCCCGCGACAACGGTTTCCGCGACTACGGCGAATATTGGCGATCCGACTACGAGATTGATAATCTGCCCGAGATTGTAGAAAATCTCTGGAAAGATCTTGAGCCGTTTTACAAAGAATTACATGCGTATGTGAGGGCAAAGCTTAGGGAACAATATCCTCACGGAAAAAAAAAAGATGCCATCCCTGCTCATTTGTTGGGCAATATGTGGTCGCAGTCGTGGACGAATATTTATCCCTTAGTCGAACCAATCAAGAACAAATTAAGCCTTGATGTTACCAAGCAGATGATTGATGACAATTTTACGGTAGAAAGAATGTTTAATATCACCGAATCATTTTTCTTGTCGCTTGGAATGGAGAAACTCCCAAAAGATTTTGTGCGGAGATCGATGATCAGGAAACCCGATGAACGAGATGTTGTATGTCATGCATCTGCCTGGGATATGTATGTGAAGACCAAAAATGGAGCAAAAGATGTCAGGTAGGGGATAAGACACGGTACTATGAAGGTTTGATCGCGTGACAGTCACGCACTAGTGAGTTTTGTAGACTTGGTTGGTACTTTTCAAAAAAAAATCTTTACTACCACTTACTTTTCCTCGTTTGGCCATTCCCTGAAATCATCGTTTCCCATCACGCCAACAAATCATATAGGAAGTTGGAAATGGAATTCCACTTCGACCGTTTTGTCGACAAATTTTGATGATCTCGCCGTTTTTTCGGAGAGACGTTCTCCCACGAATGGGAAGGCGACGGATAATTAAATAGCATCTATTGTGTTATCTTCGTTCTTCACAATAGAGGCTATTCATATTCAGTGACATGTAAATGAGTGGCAGGGTATTCTGCAGTTTAATAGCCGGAAAAATTTTACAGCCTTATAAAAAGTGCAGTTTCCTGTTGTCCCGAAACTCGAGATAAGCAGGCTTTCAAACTTCAAACTGCGCACATTTTTTTGGCGATTTTCTTTGATGGTTGTCGCCTGAAATATTTGTTTGTGCCTATGTGGTCTAAGAAGTTACTCCACCTAAACTAAACCGCTAAACCTCTTTCTGTTACAATCCCACTGTAACGGATTTATTTAAATCTCAAGCTTAGGAAATCATTCCCTGCTGTTTGGATAGCTTTGCTTCATTCTGATTAAAATCAAAGTAAATGTGTTTCAAGGGCTGTTCACCAAGATAAGATAATCACGAATCCTGTTGTATCTTGACACAAAGAAAGCCAGTAGGGTGTTCGTAAGCCGCTCTCTGACTGAAAACGGAAATCACATGCAAAGTTGTAAACGAAACATCCTCCTAAGTGGAAATAGTAACCACTAGGTAGTTCCTCGATTCCGGATTATGGGGCGAGACCGTATGCTGGCGTAATTTGTTAGAGTATTTTATCAATGTCTTCAAGTGGAAAATCTCCTCTTACAAAAATAACTCGAGCTATTTTAAGATTTTAAGGTTTTCGCCTTTTTTAGTAGCGGTATTCATTTTAAATGCGTTATCGCCCTGGGGAAGGCGACATTTCGAACATATTTGTGATGTTTATTACTTTACTTTTGTTTTCTTTGCGAGTAAAAAATTCCTAGCGTGCGAGAAGGCGGTCATGATCATTGAATTTCCGCCCGCGAGAAGGTTTTAGACATCTTGTGGAGAAGTTTGCCGATATCTAGCAGATTAACATTTATTATCTCTTGCAAACCTCTCGCCGACTCGCTTTGCACAAGGCCTCGTGGTTTCTCGCTGGCAAAGAAACGGTCGTGTGGAAGCACTAATTATGAAATTGTGCTCGAAGCCTTACCACCGCTGCCTCAGGCCTGATGCCCTGTCGATCCGCTCACATGACGCATCGTTCGCACGCAGCATGTAGGCAACTCGTTCCCTCGTGAAAAGTTTGAAGTTCACCACGACTTTCAAAATAGATGCAGACGATAGCGTTTATGTCACGTACTTGTTGGGTTTGAAATTGAGTGTGAAGACGTAAAATTTGTCATAGGAATGTTCCCAGAGAAATTAGGAACACGCCAGGAATTATTATTATTACAAAATAATATGGCTTAATCTTTGTTGAGAAGAGCGGTGGGTCGCTATGAAATGTGGCGTCCTGCCAGAGAAGTACTCTCGTTTTAGTCTCTTTAATCCTTTCGTAATCCCTAAATTGAGGTTGGGGAATTGTCGCCCCTGTGAGTTGGCTTTTTTTTTTTCTGTTTGGTGTGTAAACCTGATAGTTTAAAATGTTAGGGGCTCGAGTGGGCACTCGTGACGGGATGTTACTAAAAGTAGTAACGGGGAACGGGGAACGGGTATACAGCGGTAACCCACCTGAGAATTCAAAATGGCGGAGTAAACGATGTTTACAAACACTGATTTTATCGCTAGGTCGCCCCTTGCAGCGAAATTAGACGACTCGCTTTTATTTAACTATTTCCCAGGCGAAGCCACGAAGCCTAGTATTCCGAGGCGAGAATTCGAAGTCAACGTTTCTGCAATGGCTGCCACCATTTGATCTGACGTCTCTCTTTGTTTTTCCTTCCTGAAATCTGCATCTTTTGGCAGAGTTTGGGTATGTTGGTTGTTTGCATTTCCCACCAGCATTTTTTGCAGATAAGTAGCAAGTAGGTAATATCTTAGATTAACAGAAATGAGCTAGGAAACGTAATAACCAGCCTAGTTATTAAAATTACTAGATATCTGCTTACCTTACCGCAAAATAACATCAGGAACATATCTTTGTATCGCCCCATAAACTTCCATGTAAACAATAGAGNGATCAGTTATGTCTTCAAGAATGTAGGTGTATGAATTCACATTCATGCTAATGCTTACAATAATATTTACACTGCATTGATCATATTCAAGAGAAAGTGATTCCCATAATGGGCGTGAAAGTCATTCAGCTGTTTGCTTTACAACATTATTGATATTGCTAGGTTGTAACGGTGAAGATATTGGAGGTAAACTTCATTACCTTGCAGTACAATTACTCTATGAATATAAGAATAAATGCCGCGAGCTTGTAGTTCTGAGTTGATTGTTCAAATGTTGTGCATGAATTGTAAGATACTCACCTCTCCGAGGATTTGATTTCTATGCAACCTGCAATGTGTGCCAGACAAAAACTAAATTTATGAGGCACTCAACATTTCAAAGTAAAATCCTTCAATAAAACCTACACTTACCGCCCATACTTTTTGCTCCGACGATCGCGTTCGAAGAGCACGTGCTCAAAACTAGTTGCCAGACCCTTTTAGTACCCTTTACTCCGCCATTTTGAATTCTCAGGCGGGTTACCGCTGTACACCCGTTCCCCGTTCGCCGTTTCCCATTCGCCATTCGCCGTTCCCCTTTCCCCGTTCTCGTTCCCCGTTACCCGTTACCAGTTTTAGTAACATCCCTCGTGACGACGCTTTTCGTGCAAAACTTAATTAGATTGCCGATTGGAATGCCGCCGAATTTCTTTTTTTTTTTCTTTCCCTTTTTTCTTTTTCTCTTTTGCGTTTGTCGGGCGAGCAGGTGCAAGTTCAGGATTTAGGACGAAGTCCCTAAGAGGCTCCGCTGCTCGTGTTTGTGGTTCTTCCAAAACTAAGAGTCTCGCGCGTCCGTGTCCGTACGTTCGTGCTTCCGTGCGAGAAGCGCCCTGGATCAAAATCTGCCTTCTACGTAGGGTCTTGTCTTCTGCATGCTGAAGTCTGTCTGCTCATGTTTCTTCGTTGGTTTTTTTCCCACTTGTATTTCAATTCTTTTTTTTTTTTTTTTGCGTCATCTTTTTTAGAATAAAACAATGCACTGAGGTAACGCAAGAGTGGCTTGTCACGACACATCATGAAATGGGTCACATTTATTATTTCTTGTCGTATTGGGATCAGCCTTACCTCTTCCGTGATAGCGCAAACCCAGGATTTCACGAAGCTGTTGGTGACACCATGTCTCTCTCGGTTTCTACTCCTCGGCATCTTGTTAAGATTGGACTCCTAAAGGAATACACTCAAGACGAAGGTGAGAAAAAGAAAAAAGAAAAAAACACTTCGACCACTAGTGTCCCAAGCTCGACATAGGGTACCCTTATTGCATCTGAACATCAGCATGGATATTCTCCGTGTTATTCTTTATGCAGCACCTAAGTTGTAGGCTCGATCACCATCCGTTGTTGGGGAACCGGAGCCCGCGCTCCTGAAAAAAGACCGGACTCGAGAGAGCGGCGGAAATCGAGCCTACCTGAGTTGTTGAGAAGGAGAAATTGATTAAAAATCTTGAGCTTCTTTAGTTGGGGATCATATCCCTGATGTTTAATTCAGGGGTGATATTGTAAGGAAAAATTAGTTGCTGGTTACTGTTAGCGTTTAAAGGGTCTGAATATCTTACTTTTTTATTACGCAGCAGTAGACAAAATGTTTGAAAGAAACGTGTTGCATTTGGAAACCTGTTAAAGTCCTGAATTTGCGGGGAAAAAAAAACATAACAGCTTACTTCACTTCAGTCGTGTGTTTTTTTGTTTTTGTTTTTTTTTTTCTCGAATGTTGTGTTTGAGTGCGTCCATTCGAAACAATTCAGTATCTACGCTTCGTTTTGTGTCCCTTAACCACCAGAAGTGATCAACATGTAACTCCTTTCTTTAATACCTATACATTATCCAACAATCAAGTAATGAGAATACTCAAACTTATCTGGCTGGGCTTGTTATCTTGATCTAACATCAAACTCTCGTAAATAATTTACAAAGAAATGTTAGATCCACCGAAAACGCTTTAATTTGGCCAAGAACTAAACCCAGGTCAAGGAAATGGACGATTTGAGCGGGGCAATTTATTTTCTTTCAGTAAAATGTGGGGTATATCCTTTTTGTTAGCAACTGTTTACCCATTCAAATTCCACTGTGTGACAACAGCAGGGTATAGAAAAAAGCGTCTGGTTCTCGGAAGTGAGGGGTTCCGGTTTACTGAAGTTAAAAATAGAGAAAATGTATGACAGAAATTTTCATTTAGGGCGAAAAAAAGGTTCGGTAAAGAGAGGGTGTTCCGTTTCAATGAGGGTCCGGTGTAGAGGGGTTCCACTGTAGCATTTCGAACCTGGGTTACCACTATACCTCTGGCGTCTTTCTGTCACGCAACACTGTCTACTTTCTCGCCGAGGCCGAAATAGCACCTTTGCGTGACAGAAGAAGCACCATGGAGAAACAGTTGAAGTAGGACTAGACTGTCACAATGACTGGCTCAGCCGGCCTGGAAAGGGTAACGAAACGAAAGATATATTTTGAGCACGATTTCACGACTTCTATTTATTCATTTACGCATTCTTAATGTATTTTTGCAGAAGCAGACATAAACAATCTAATGAAGGCGGCGCTGAGCAGTATCGTTTTCTTGCCGTTTGGATATTTACTCGACCAATGGCGATGGGGCGTTTTCTCGGGAAAAATCCAACCGAGCGAGTATAACACTGAATGGTGGAAACTGAGAACTATGTACCAGGGCATCAAACCGCCTGTTGAGAGGTCAGAAAAGGATTTTGATCCTGGGGCTAAGTTTCACGTACCAAACGATGTGCCCTACATAAGGTTTGTAATATTTTCTTACACTGCTCACAATAGCCGCTCAGTGTACCTTGGCTCATAATGTAACGTTCAACTCTTGTTGACTGGTTTTCGGGCCCATTCCTTTCGCAATTTTATTTTGTCTATCATTAGGTCTGCGTCTCGCTTTAATATACAGCATTTTAATATGTTTATTTCTCTAATTAGCATTAAAAAACTGTGTAGCTCTAACAGTCAGGCCAAGCAAAAAATGTTCAAGATACTCAGGGTTCGAATGAGCTTATACTTCATGGCTGAGAAAAGAAAACAAAAGGCACTTTTACTGTTGTTGCGAAGTTCACTGAAGTCGAGGGTTCCTTTGGCCTCTTTCTTGTTAGGTACTTCATCAGCAGCGTGCTACAATTTCAATTCCACAAAGCGGCCTGTAAGTTAGCAGGCTTCGATGGACCTCTTCACCAGTGCTCCATCTACCAGTCTAAGGAAGCGGGCAAAAAGATCAGGTAAGGACTGGAGCTGAAAAGAACACTCTTCGAAAGGAGAAAATTTAGTTCTGTTGTTTCTCAGCGCGCGCAGGGGATCACTTAATTGACGCACTGTGCGAGCTGTGTAATAGGTGAAAAAATGGAAAGTATCTGCCTTAGTTGCTCTTAATTTATTTCTCTGCGCCTCTTTCATTACATTATCAATAATGCTTCTATAATTTTTGTATGGCCATTGCATGAAATGTTTGTTATCTCTAAAATTTGTTGTTGTTGTTCTTCACGTAGCGAGATGCTGCAACTGGGAACGAGCAGGCCTTGGCCCGAGGCCCTAGAAAAGCTCACTAATAAGACGACTATGGATGTGGGGCCCATGAGAGAATACTTCTGGCCTCTATACTTGTGGCTTAGAAAACAAAGATGCGAGGGAGAGTATGCTATTGGTTGGCCTGAAAATCCGGGACCTGAGGGTGACCCATGGGTGGTTCCCACGACTTTGCCAGACGCGAGCACGAAACCTATGACGAAACCGATAAGCGCCGTGGAAGCGTATGCGCATGCGTGGACTTTGAACTCCGCTGGTACATTGATAATGACCATTGCTTCACTTTTCGTCTCTTTGAACGTAATGAACAAATAGTATGTTTTTTTCTTATGTCTAATGAGACAATTTATAAGATGTGTATATAGTTACACCTAAATGGTCAGGTACGATATTTTTCCTCGTTAAATTTTGGCAATTATAACAACTCGTTCAAATGATTGCTTTTCGGTGTGTTTTATGTGTAATATCATCGGTGACAAATTACTCCTTGATTTTGGCGCGAAATTTCAGCATTAATTTTTAATTTCACATGTGAAGTTACAAAATTGCCCTAGTAACATCTCTTGTATCTCGATCAGAGCCAAGATGGCGTCGAGATTTAAGACGGTGACCCTTGAAGAAGTTACGAAATTTAAAGAAGCGACCGAAAATTATTAACAGGCACGAAGAATTCGAAAGGTATATTTTGTGAAGAAACTCAGAAAATTACGACCTTTAACAACAATGTATGCTTTAAACGAAAACTATATTCTTCATGTGCTCGGTTTTCGATAGAATAAACCAGTAAAAACAATTGCGGTTGTGAACGTAATTTGTCATCCACGATATTAAAAGGCAGTCAAATAGTTTTCTCGTGAAATTAGGAAATAATTTCACTTGTGTTTTGTCAAACTTCTGATAATTTCCCTCGTCTAAAGGCTTGGGAAATTATCAGAATTTTGACAAAACGCGCGTGAAATTACTTCCTAATTTCGCTCGTCACCATCTGATTACACATACTAATTGAAACTTAAACATGACTGCAAAACGTTTTTCTTATCGGCTGCTATACATTATTAATTTTATCATCATGATATCCGGTCAGCTTGTCAAGAAAAAATTTACAGGCCCTCACACCAGTCCTGCAAAAACATCTAATTATCTTTTGCTGTCAATTTCAGCGAAAGTGGTATTTCCGAGAGCACAATCGTCACTTTTGCCTCGCCATACTTTATGATAATGGTATCATGATACAATTATTTGATGTTCTATACGAGAATACCTCGTGCGACTTTCAGGGGGAGAGGCCGTATTAATGCGTACGGTGGCCCACGACTGCCACATAAAAAAAAAAAAATATATTACTGACATCAAAACCAAATTGTTTTAGCAAATTGATGGAGATAATTGTTTTTGATGCGAGCAATTTGCTTTTGATGTGAGAAATTCGTTGTTGTCAGGAGCAATTCGTTTTAGATGTGACACTTGTGGACCACCGTAGCTGCGAACGGTTACAACTTCGTATACACATCCAATGAGAGGCAAATCTTAAACTAAAAGTCCCTCTTGGAAGGCGTCAAGAAAATGCTATCAACAGACTTATCAAAAACTGGTAAAACACAGCGCTAATTCAATAATGAGAGCCAAGAAGGTCTGGCAACATTACAGACTGTTGACACTCATAGCCTTTCGTATAACTGATGAAAAATGCAATTTCACTTGTTTTAAAACTGTTTTTGTTGCTGATGCGGTCGTGCTGCTTAACATCCCTCATAATTGACCATTTTGGAAGCGATAGACACGGCTCTAAATTCAGATTTTTCCTGTGTTAGGTTTAAATGGCGGACAGGATACTCTGATCGTGGGGAAAACTTGTATGGAGCTTCCAGTGTAGTGTTACGCAAAATTATTTCAAACCGTTTAAATTGACAATTGTCCACCGGAACATTGGGCGTTGTTTAAAACGGGTGGCTTGCATGACAGATGCTCAGCGTTTTGGCACAGGATACACGCGCGCAGGAGAATAGACACGCGAGAGCTCTCACGCGAGACTTCTCACCTGTTAGTGAGGGGGTACGGGGTAAGTTACCCGCACCAAGGACACTTTTATCGAAAGTTCCGGAGCCGCGCCTGGTATTGACTTAAAACAAGAAAAAAAGAAAAAAGAGAAAAGCTGCCTACTTCCCAATCTAGAAAACAGGGGAAGAGCATTACAGAAGTTAACAGGAAACAACGACGATTTGAACGATTAAAAAATGATAATAGAGAGATTTATCACCGCGTTTACGTGAAACGGCAAACGTCAGCCTTCCCTTCCACGTTTCACGTAAAATAACTTGAACCTTACTGTTTTAGAAGGCGCCCTTGTATGACTTAAAAGAAATAGTTTTTGGGCCCTATTTCCAGCGATTAACTTCTTTCTCTGTGACAGAAAAAGTGAAGAAAATCTTACTCGGTAAACGCGAAACAGGCTACTTTCACGTGGAAACGGTGAAGCAAAAACAATAAACGTGAAAAAATTGCCGGAAAAACAAGGTCACGCGGTCACTCTGCCGTTCATTGTTTTGCACGAAATTATTTTAAGTTACGTAATATCCCTATAATGAACATGCGTTTCGTAACTCGTTATCAGTCTCTTAAGTACAAAAATCGATCATAAATCGTAACGGGAACACAAGGTTCAAGAAAGGGAAAAGAATACAGAATTGTAAGTACAATTAGCTCAAGAACATTGCGGTACAGTGCCTGAAAAGTAATCAGTGTAATTTGTTTATTTCAGTTTGACTCGTATGCTCATAAGAAAGAAGGAGTGCAGATATCAATTTCAAAAATTTCGCTAGCTGTTAAGGTCTGAATACAAGTTCAATACATTCACGTTTCACGTAAACCTGGTGCGAAATCTCTCTAATCATACGAAATTTGGCTGCCAAAGAAATAAGCCCTTGCTTTGCCGAAGACTTATGCTGCTTATAGACCTTATATAATTCAATTTTTTTGTTATGTCAAGCCCACTGCATCAGCCATCTTGTCTCTGGGAGGAACCTAGATTTGTCCAACGAGACCTAAGACAAAAAGTAAATATTTTAGGAGCGGACTTATCCATGAAATACGGGCTAAATCTCGATCGTACTATCGCCGCTTTCCGCGTTACGGTTGACAAAATAAGTTTCAGTCTTTACGAAACTGAAGCCGCCTGTTTAATTTATTCGATACGAAATGTGTCAATTTGTTTGTGTTGAAGTAAATTTATTAACTGCTGCAGGTGCCTGTTTTAATTCCAACTGAGTATTTTGTAAATTATACAGTTAGATTATCTGCTAGAAGGGAAAAACTCCGAGCCGAGCTGCATCGTTCCCTATAATTTGGAAGTTCTGTCTATTAATTCTTGGTTCAAACGAGAGACAGATTAACTACCCCGTCAGAGATATATTGCAAAAGAACTGATTCCTCATTTTAGAGGTATTTTCAGTTTTTTTTAGAGGTATTTTCATTTTTCTTGAGTTTGCCTTTACTTTCAGTTGATCGATCACACATGCGATACTGTGTTTTATATAATTCATTTTGTAGGGCCTCCATCGCTTTGAGGTAGTGCTCGTTGATTTAGCCTTAACGAGCCGTTGAAATTTTCTTAAATTTCTTATTCACAACCTCCTTTTAGGAAATGAGCCCGCACTCCTCTCTCGGACCGGGGAGGTAGAGAGGGAGGTCGATAAAACGACAGAAATATCGAGCCCGTGAAGTGTCATGTCAACGCCAGCGCCGCGGGTGGCAAAGCCGCGAGAGGTTTTGGACGATAAAAAAATTATATAAGCGCTCTATTTCCAGGGTTTCACTTAGTTTTTGTTTTGTTTTGGTAGTTTAACTATAAAGAATTGCGATAAAATCGAAAAGTTTAAAAAATTAGAAACCCTCTTGGTTTAAGAAAAATACGACGACGTTCGCTTAACGTAATTATCAAGTCAATAACGAGTGAAAGGAGAACGAATATAATTGTAAAAGAATTCCTAAGAGACACGGATAACAAAATTGAAATTATGTGAGTAACAAAGAATTCACACGCAAAGTCACATATTCGCACGCAGAGTCACGTAAAGAGTTTGGCGCGAATAGAGTCTTTCTGTCGGGCACTTACACCAGCGCATAAACGAACACAAATACTCTGCAATCGGGAGGCATCTTGAGCAACACGGTCTGTTGAAGACTGTTTTGGTTGATAAGCAATTTTCTGTTTTAAAAAAATGTAGATCAAAGTTTCATTGTCTAATTTTTGAGATTTTATTCATTAAAGGAGCTGAAGCCCGGGTTAAATACTCAGAAAGACTCTATTCGCGCCAAACTCTTTTTCTGCGTGCGAGTATGTGACTCTGCGTGTGAATTCTTTGTTATTTACATATTTTCAATTTTGTTTTCCGTGTCTCTTAGGAATTCTTTTACATTTATATTCGTTCTCCTTTTACTCTTTATTGACTTGATAATGACGTTAAGCGAACGTCAAAACATCGTCGTATTTTTCTTAAACCAAGTTGGTTTTTAAGTTTTTAAACTTTTCGATTTTATCGCAATTCTTTGTAGTTAAATTGTTTAACAAATCTCTTTTGGTAGTTTGCCAATGAAGAGCGTGCGTCGAACGCGCGAGGACAAATGAAAAGCGGAAGAGAAAAAACTTTTTCCCCGCACCCAACCCCAAACGCGTCCGTTTTCGCTCGCAGCTCATAACCCCAACCCCCTCCCCCTTTTTCTAGGGTCGGAGAGTGTAAACAAGCGAACGGCTTTAATGGCTCTAATGATGCTCGTGCCCTGGTTTTAGTTATTTGTGCGCACTGAAATCTAATCAAACTTTCCTTGCTAACTAGCGTTTACTTTCTTTGTTTGTTTTGCTTGTGTATTAGACTAATTACCAACTGACATTATCCCCCTGACTCATTTATCTCTCTTTTATCGAAAGTGACAGCGGAAAGCGTAATTTGACGCGCTCGTACGGCGCGCGACATCTCCAAACAGGGTCAGTACATTACCAGGGAACGCCCACCAATTTGTTGCAACCGAAGTTAGCGGCGAAGGTTGCATTCCGTCTTCACAATGAAACTCCGCATCTCCTTATGGGTTACTGTTTTCGTCACGCTTGCGCCTTTTCCAACCTTTGGTGCAGTTGATCAGGCGGAGGAGCAAGCAGCGAAGGACTACCTCAACAACTACAACTCCATTGTGCCCCAAGTGGATTACAAAAGATCTGTCGCTTCATGGAACTACGCTACAAATCTGACTGACCACAACAAACGGGTGAAAACGAACACTAGTTTTGCATTCTCCGCTTTCTACAAACTAATGCGCGAGAACGCGACAAAGTTCGATACCTCAAAACTTTCAGCTGACACCGCACGTCAGATCAAGTTCATTACATCAACTGCAACACCAAAGGATGCCGAAACGCTGAGGAAAGTCACCGAGCTAGAGTCGG